ACTTCGATGGTAGCAGTACTTCCAGCTTTGATGATGCCATAAACGCTTTTGAATCTGTAGTCTGCATTATTGGACGACCTGACTTTGTAGACGAGGTCGGTCATTCCAGAATTGATGAGCGTGTAAAATTTATTTCCACCATCTGCATCTATCACGATTGATTGTGGATGACCGTACAAAGCCATATGAGCGTTAGATAAATGAGTCTACCGCTTGCATTCGTCTTATATGCCGAATGATTGAAGACTTATCACTTTTAGCACTGTTTTCATTGCTCATATCACAAGAGAAATTAAGGTGATCAACGGTTGGGTTTACAAATTCTGAGAGGTGACTGAGTACATGAAGTTTGAAGTTGTTTATCAACATGATAGTACACGGGAAGAGCTGTGGTCACAGATATCGTGCAACATTACACGCTTGGTCGTTGGCTCGATCTAGCACCCAGCCAAACAAGTTACCCATTCTTCCAGTGCCAGTAAATTGACGCCAGACTTCTCTAGTAAACGTTTGTTCCAATTTACCAAGGTTGGAGATCGCAAGTACTGAAGACCTGAGGATGCCCTGGAAGAGCTATTACAAGATTTCAGAGAGAACGAACTCAAGCAATACTCAACGACACTCGTGAAAAAGATGAAATCCTTAAGGGACAGTGGAGCGCACACGTAAATCATAAGATCTTCGTGACCGGCGAATGACAGACACCAAACCGAATGAAATAAGTGAGGTTATCAGCACCTTATGTCATATTGGTGTCGTGTGAATAACTGAATGGACAGAAAAATTTCCACGATTTATACCAGGTAGAGCGCAGACTCAATTTGGAATGAAGTTCATTTTTTGCCGGTTGAGCAAGTTTGCTTCTTTCTAGGAAGCCTGAATTGATTGTGCCTGCACATTGTCATTGAAAACGCAGGGAGTCGTCAACGGTTGTGATTCAAATATGGACTTGTCGTAATGTAGCTATTATAGGAGTTCAGCACGACGTTGATATTTTTTGATGTTGGCTAACTCGCAGTTTCTCTTCCGATGCAGTTCTTGGCTTGAATACCCATGCACAGGGATAAACTTCAGGATATACATCATAGCCTGGCACGGAACCACACTCTCTTACTGCGATGAGATGATGTCCTATAAAGGAGGTCTAAAATTATGTAATTCACTGGGTCGCATTTTTTCACAGGTTAACAGTTAATGAGGATTTTCCGGAGCAAAACATATTTTTTCAAATTTATACAGCCGCTATCATTTATTGCGCGGATCTCATAGTTCTTTCGTTCTGTTTGTTATCCAGCAACAGTAAACATCTTGGTTTTTGTGTAGGTTTCGTTTCAATTTAGGAGTTTTCCTTAGTGTCGCTGATTGTTGGTCGAGTCTTCCTACGGAATCCTTGGCTACCTCTGCTAGAACATTTCCAGCTCTTCCCTTCCAAAAGCAGCATTTGTCGATGAGAGCGAACTTATCCCAGACAAGTTTGATACCAATTTGCAGAGCTCGAAAGGAGGAATGGAAGCTCTGCTGCTGCTCGAACTGACGACCACACCTACGGTATTGCACACAATCCCTAAATGTTGTGCTTTCAGCGCTTCAGAGTTTAGTCGTAGTAAAAATAGGAGGCTATCTTGCCAAATATTCATCGATGCACCGTGGTGTATAGGAGGGCGCTATCGCGCAAGCAATTTAAACAATGATATATAACGTACTTTTGCTAGAATGTCACCACTGAGTTCACATGTCACCTGTATCACCTGCCATCCCGTTGATCGTCGAGTGACTCGAGGCAGGCGACAATAAATCTTCCATTTTTCCCCGTCGCGTGCAACGGTACCCACTGGGATCTGCTCGTTCTAGGGACTCGCCGAGCATCATATTTTTCTTCAAGGCTCTTTGCGAAGAACTCTGACCATCGAGTCGGTGGTCTTCCTGCAGTGCGTTTAACATCCTGAGGAATCCAGTCACTAACGGCTGTTCTCCAGCGGTTGTCATTCATACGCATTACGTGTCCGGCCCACCTTATCTTCGACTGTTTGGCGTACAGAACTGCGCCTTTAATTGTTGATCGTTGACGCAGGTCGGAGCTTCGGTTCCTTTCTTTTACTTGCGTAACACGGGATACTCCTAGGATCGTCCTTTCGACAGCGCGTTCGATAACGCTGAGTGATTTTTCATCCTGCTTACGTCAGTGACCAGGTTTCTAACGCTTACGTTAGGACGCGAAGAATCGTGTAATCGAAAATGTAGGCGCGAAGTCGGGTGTTATTTGTTCTCTTCAATACGTCCTCGATGCTCTCGAATGCTCCGCAAACCGATCACTTCCTCCTGCTCAGCTTTGGAGCTAGGTCGTTCAACATGTTGATTTCCCGACTTAGACAGATGTAGCTGGAGTATTCGGAGATATTCGTTGCGCTGAGAACAAATAGGGTATAGGGAACCAATCCGCTTCTCATGAGCATCGTTTTTTGAGATTTAGTCGAAGGCCAACTTTTCCACAGGCTTTATAAAAGTCGGCTTGCATTCGTCGCGTCCGTCGATTTTGACTCTCATTTTGTCCGTTTCAACTTCCGAACGACGTTCTCGAGGACGGCGGCAAAAAATTTTGACGAGAAGGTATCGACTTGCCTAAACGCTCATATGACGTCAATGTTAATACCTTTATAGAATGGTGATATTTTGGTTGTGAAATATTTATACAGCTCGCGAAGATCTTCATATTTGAGTTAGAAGCTTTCCCTAAATTGACGGCAGTGAGGTAGAGCAGTTTGTTATCCTCTCGCAATACTTCAGTGAGCTATCTTATAGTGTGGATGTAGTCTAGCTTACTGAATTCTTTTCGAAACTCTGCCTGCTCACATCTCTGTTTTTCATGTAATGTTCTGTTAATTTTTTTAGAACGTGTGAAAAGTTTAAAGACGGCACATACTAAGCGACTTGGGTGATAGTTGTCGATATAGTGTACTTCACCCTTCTATAGCAATAACACACTCCTTTCGGTCTTTCGCTGAATAGGAGCTTTGTGTTCTCAGAGATAAAATGTGAGGAGCCAAAGCAATGTGTTGATGAGAATTTGCAGAAGGTTGTTCAGCTGTTCAGATCTTATTCTATCCGGGCCTGGTGCTGTTCAATTCTTCAACGACTAAATAGCATGTAGGATTTCAGAAGGGAGAGCCAGTGCCACGATATGCCCATCCTCTATTTCACATGAGGACAGGAAGACATGACTATTGAAGAGATCCGAGTAGTATTCGTGAACGACTTTCTCCATTGCTTTTCTGGATGGTGTGACTGTTCCATCTGGGGTCGGAGTGCAATCATCTTAGTTTCATATAATTGGCAAAGCTTCCGTTGGCTTTGCGAATGCTCCTCTTCCCAGTCTCTACAGCTTCGACGATAACTCTTACTCTTCTCTCTTTAAGATCTTCTTTTATCGTCTGTCTGCATTATTCTGCAAGCTCGGACGTGAGTTGGAAGTTGCCTGTAGTTAGTGCAATTTCCACTGTCGTATCAGCTCCAGAACTTTTGCAGACAGACGTCTCTTGGAGGCTTTCGAACTCTCAGCTTCTAAAACGCTAACATAAAGATGTAGAATGAGCAGTTCGTACTACTCGTCGATTTTATTACGAACAACATCTCACTACCCGATTTACGAACTGAGTAAATTCCAGATTATGGTGGTTTATGGGCTCCGTTTTTTGAATTTAGCCTCTTTTTCTTCATAGGTTCGCATAGGCATAGCATAGGTTCGCTTCACGAGAAACAAAATTTTGCACGAAGAAGGAGGTGATGGTGTGATGCCACGTAGGATTTTGGAACAATAATGACATCAGTTAGACAAAACCTTCGATTGGCTATGATATGATCTCTTTCGTTATGGTACGCCCCAACGGGAGATTCCTCCGGCTACCGTTGAGAATGGGGATTCAGAAGTTGTGTGTTACCATCGTCGTCATGATAAACTCAGAAAGACGATCACCTTGCTCGTTGCATTCTAATCCGTGGGTCTTAATGTGACGTTCTTCAAACCTTCTAGGTCCACCTTTGACGTTAAAATCTCCAATGATGGACCTTAAAGAATGCATATCTGCTCCGTAGAATTTCTTCATGTCCACAGAGATAGCTTAAGGTGTCATAGACAGTGATGAATGGGTAGCGTCTTTTCGCACGAGCTTGTTCGATGACGTCATACCTTATCCTTTCCGCCCACGTGATCAAGTCCGCTGTTATGGACTCAGACGGAAGTTGGCATGTATACTAAGTACAAATCGTCGCCTTAGCCTTTTACGATTTGGGCAGCATGGAATGGCGCTGAGATTTCAGCACCCCACCGTACTCGTCCTGTTGCCGTTGCCGTTTCAGAAGATCTTTCGAGGTCGGGAGACTGAGGCACACTTATCTTACTATCTTTAGCATTCGATACCCACGTATAACTTGGTGAGCTCAGGATACGGTGGGTGAGTATACTCATGGGTAGCTTGCCACTATCTCGCAGAGTACAGGAAGAGCTTTTTTTGTTAGAACCGACCCCTAACCGCCTCCCACATACTTCCCTGTTACTTGATTGCAGGCTTTTGGCTTGCAGTTATGAAGGACTCGTAGAATACAATCAGCACAAACGAGAACAGACCCACGCACGCATGCATGATTACGCCCTCGTAAATACAGAAACTATGTGCCAAATTGGCGCAGCGGCAACAGGGAGTCCATTCCCTGGATCCAACTGTATCTCAGGGTAGCATAGGTTCGCTTTCGGTCCGCGATTCACCTCCATCTTCCACCTGTGTACGCGCTACGTTGCCTTGCGACAAACCGGCAAGAGATCCTTCTATGAACGAAATCCGTGGCTATGGAGTTCAGCCGAGTGTGATAGCGAAGAGAAGTACATTTGAAAACGCTAGAATCTTCGGCTTTTTGGATGCTATTTTGATGTGCTTACTACCTATCAGCAATTTTTACACTATAGTGTGATATGGTAATTCTATTAATTGATCAGTTAATAAAATACTATGCTAGGATTCATGACAGTCGAGGAGGCTGTTGTTGGACCGAGTCAACTTCGCTTTCGGCTCGTTCGCATAGGCAGAATCAATTTTTCACACGATTCAGCGGTTCGATTGGTGAGAATCGAACAGATAGTCTTGAATTGATTGATATTGACTTTTGAGTAACTCCTTTCCAGATGTTTCGTGAATGGACGCTGTTGGATGAAGAACGACTTGAGTCACGGCTTCTAATGACCACCACTGTTACCAGGAAACTAATGGAACATACTTTTATCATATACAGGAAGATTTACCCATAGTACATGAGCTAGTCCTATCGATTCAATTTCAGCTGAGGAACTGTAGGCTAGGATTTGATTTACAACTGGTTTAGAAAGCTAGGTGATAGGGCTGTAAAGTTTTCAGCCTCAGTGTTCGAAAAGACAACCACCTCGATCCATTCCCTTCATCTGTCAGTTTTCATAGAGTTTTCGATGTTATTTATTGTATTTTCTCTAAGCACTTCGAAAGGATTCTTTGTAAAAGACGGTATTTCCTCAACAGATCGAGGAAGTGAACTAACGTGATCGAATATCTCCCATGAATATATGTGTTGAACATAGTAATTGATTTATCATAGTTATCATTCCTCGTCCTGCATGGTTAGTATGCAACTTTTTCTCCCAGAAAGCTTCATAATATTCCCAATTCGAAGCTGCTCGTAAGTGTCCCATGAGGATTCTTGCGAGGAACTTTGTGGTATCATTGCGTAATAATTTATAAGATATAGGAACTATTCATCAAATAGTTCCTATTTTCTATACGAATGTATGTTTCTTGTTCACCTATAACTATCTTAAATCTATCTTCGCACCTTCTCTAAATTGCCTCTTAGCCACTATCTCATGCAGTTGCCTCGCAGGTGGCTGGAAAGGGAATCAGCAGCAGTCAGCTGAATGGACTTTCCAGCATCTGCCGTCCCAAGGAAGTTTCCACACGAGCAGCTGCGCCCTTTCACATGTAGCTCTATCAGATTGTGCTAGTAGAAAGAACCTTTAGAACCTCTCTCTAGGCGCTGTCTTTAGTTCCCTCTGGTAAAGCTTCACCCACTACAGAAGTAATACAAACAGCCCATAGCCATTCGTCTTGAATTGTTCATAGTGTTCGTCCAGTGTCCATCCAGTTCGTTCATATCGCCTAACTCGTTCATATACTTCGCTCAATTGTTATTGTTGTTATTGCTACTATTATCATAAAAGTTGTAACCTAGCGTTCGACTCAGCGACTTACACACAGGAAACCCGCGTGGCAGCTACAAGGACTAGTATTCACAACAACTTGGTATTCATATAAAGTTAGGAGCTCAACGCCGCAACATAAGAAGTGTAATAAGCAAATATTTTAACAAAACATCTCTCATTGTTCCTTTGTCAAACTGTGTTTGTCTTTTTATTCAGAAGCACTCTCCATAGAAAAATGTGTTCAAGAAGTGAGGTTGCAATCGATATGCACCTTTTGTGTTATTGCCGTATCTCTACTTCTAGCGTTCCACTGACGAACGAACGAAGTAATCAACCAATTCTCTATTAATGAGCGATCTACTTGAACAATTTTTTTTCGAATGGTCTATGTGTCATTTAATCAATTGATTCTTTTTAACATATGACCTTTCACTTGACCTATTTTTCTACTTACCAAAGACTTTTGTTGTCTGAATACAGCGGAGACTTTCTCAACATGTCGTTTGATTTCCGTGAAATGATCATGCTCCACTGATTTTTCGTTTATTCGTGCTCTTCTGAAGAACTTCATATCTGTCACGTTTCGTCAGTCTTCACTTCTAGATCGCTCGTCTCAATATACTTACTTGGACACTTGGATGGTCCGTCTTCACTAGTTGCGCGAACCCCAGCATAATCACCACTTTTCGGAGATTTGCTGGTTAAACCATTGTGGTTCCCTGGAATTCTGAGGTCTGTCTGGCCAAAGTCTGGCCCAGCTCTTCGCCATCACAGGCAGTTGCCACCTTTGTCAATCAGAGGAAAATTTACCACCATGCGATAAGTTTGATACCGGGAAGGTGCTGAACCTCAATATTGGTTAACTCTTAGCTGGGCTTCCTGATGGAAACGTCGGACTCCTTCTCAGCTTAGGGAGACCCTGCCGGTGGGACGACTCTTCCTGCTATACATCGCAGGCCGACACACAGGAACACCTCCCAGCCACTATGAGGCGGTAAACCGTTGGGAGGCGTTTCAATATACGGATCCTTATCGCATTTCGCTAGTAGTCAAGTAATTTTTGAACTTAAGTGATTTTCTCATTTCTTAGATTCCAACAGGTCCATGGCTCATTAAGTATGACAATAGCTACATGAGTCACAATTACACAATTTTTTTTACCGATCCATGTTTTCTTGAATGACTAAGATAATATGATGTTGGCATAAAAGATTTACTCAGCTAGCGTGTCGAAATCTTCATCTTCCCCAGAGCCAGTTTGATCTGGGTCGGTGGTCCGGAGGTAGTCGTCCTCGCGATGTGGCTGTTCGCTATCGCATCGGATCGAGTCGAATCGAATTTCATACTAACCTCGCACTAACCTAGTCATGCAAGAAAGCATTTATCGATCGGTTGATCTGTCACGATTTCATCGTATCTAGCCACGTCTCATTCGTTTTATTGGAAAATCAGAGCCAGTTGTTTCTCTGGCTTGGTCGATTCGTACCTAGAATCTATGCAAAAGAATGAATATGAATAAATGAATAGTGAATAATAGTGGGTGAATAGATGAATAATTGGAAATGAATAAAAAACGAATATTGTTAGTTTCGTGTGGTAAAATAGGGCGCGTGTAGTGCAGTAGTTAAAGGTGCGGTCTGTAACACACCTAGGTTCGATGCCACGCAACTGGCTCACCAAGCCTTCTATTCCTGCGGGATCGGAAAATTGGTACGAGACCTACCCGGAAGGATAGAAGCACTGAATCCATAAATTGATAAGCCACAACGAGTTGTTATGCAGGCTAGGTATGCATTCAATCACCTCCAATGATGTCTAATGAAGTCGATGCATGGCGCATCCATCTGGGATTGATCAACGTCGAGAGCTATATCCTTTTATAGAGAAGGTGCGAAGATAGATTTAAGATAGTTATAGGTGAACAAGAAACATACATTCGTATAGAAAATAGGAACTATTTGATGAATAGTTCCTATATCTTATAAATTATTACGCAATGATACCACAAAGTTCCTCGCAAGAATCCTCATGGGACACTTACGAGCAGCTTCGAATTGGGAATATTATGAAGCTTTCTGGGAGAAAAAGTTGCATACTGAGGACGTTACGAAAGATAACGTCACAGACTCGCCAAAATTGATAATATAACCAACGAACCAACACAGCAGCGTTAGCTC